TATATATATATATATATATATACATATATACTAATTATATGCGATAACAATTGGAAATAACAATGTACTAATGTGTTACAGTATATAAACTGATAAATAACACGTAGAGATATTTGTTCAAATATAAATAATTCTAATAATTGCTAGGAGATGATACTAAAAAATAAATTTAATAAAAATAATTATAATAAAACAAAAAAAATAAAATACAGGTAATATATTTATTTAAAAAGGTATTTTATTTTAAAAATTATTATTGTTAGTCAATTATTTATGGTATATCGCTTAATTATAAATGCGCATTTTTTACATAATTTTATTGTCTTTTAAACTTTAAAATAATGTAATAAAATTATCTTTAAAAAAGTAGTTGGAATAAATGCAGTTCAAGCCTGAGATTTATCAGCATATTTTTGTCGGTTTTCTTTCTGTCTTACTTTTTAAACATACATTACTTTTTTATACTCTTTATTAGAGTCTCTCTCTCTCTCTCTCTCTCTCTCATATGTAATTTGTATTGTCAACGTCCACCATTTTGAACAATGCGGGCGTTGTCCCATTTTCGAGGGGTTGGTCTACTATAGGTCCGGTATCCAACCCTTGGCCACCCTTCGCAGTATGACATTTATTTAACAAGGTAACGGTGTTAGGTTGAATTAGGGGATCCCTCGATGTGAATTCAAGGACTTAACAACCAATAGGATTTATTATTACTGGTAGCGTGTCTGATCGTCAGCTGTAACGGTTTCTCATGACGACTACTAACGGACTTTGTTGCAACATATCACACGCGTAAAAAAGTTTTACTATTCACCTCACTGTTTCATCTAATTTCTAATGCTTTCTTTTTATAAAAATAAAAAAGAATTGTTCTCTTATCTTATAATATATAATATTTTCAAAATATATTCAGTTTCTGGTTAAATATATTTCGACAATTATAACGTTTGTGTATCTTACATAAAAATTAACACGATTAAAATATCACGTTACCTACACACAAAACAAAATACACATAAATCGATCAAGTTGCTTCCGAATAATTTTCTAATTAAGTTTTAATCAAGATACATTACAACTTTTAGGAGATTAGATTTAAAAAAATGAATCAATTTATCGTATGCATTTGTCGAAGAAGGGTGAGGAGAGGCTAAAATAATAGATTCAGATAAAATTTTGACTTTATACTGCATATCTCTAACAATGAATTTAACAGAAAAGAATTGAAAATAGAGAACAAGCTGAGAAAAATAAATATCTTGTATATAGAACGCAAATAATGTGTTGCGCCGGCGCGAGATATCATCATTTAAGTCTTGCTTTCGACAAAACATTTTTTATAGTCGTTAACATCGCAGATCTGTGGCTTCTCATTGTTTGCTGTGGCGCGTAAAATTTAAATGTCCCTCTGATCGATAGTCGCCCGATATCTGATCATTATTTTTATAGGCGCGGGCGTTGCGAAATTGGTACCACATTTGTTCTGATAAGAAGTTCAGGTTTTTATTATTTTAATGAACATTTCTATGAATGCATGTCGGTTACGGCACAGGTAATGAGTCCCCTATAAGAATGATATTCATCTGATTATTTTTATTGTGATCGTCTGAAAAGCATAAAAAACCGCTCTTCGTTAAGAAAGGTTTGGTCTTAAAAGGTTTGGTCGGATATCACGAAGTTAATTGTGATGAATACGTGATATTTCGATTTAACGAGGAAAGAAATTTTTTAAATATAATGATAGAATTTATTTAAACAAAACTGTATATCATAATATAAAGAGATGATAATTAATAAAAATATTAAGATAATATATAGATGTACAATATAATGCAAATTACGATTAAAGCAAGACTGCGATTCAAATTAATAAGATATTTTAGGACATTTTAGGTACATGTTTAACTTTTCTAATAACATGTATTATTTTTTCTTCTAAAAGATAAATATTTATTTTGTTTAGTCCAATAAGTTTTTTAAAAAAACCTTACTTTTCCAAGCGAGTGAAGAGTATACTATTATGATACGTGAAATCGCTGAAATCATATGAGTAAAATATTTTCCGAGTATTATTTGAATACTAAAACTGTACAGTTGCTTCCTCTATGTGTTAGGATTATGAATCACGATGCGTTTCATTTTAACCAGCCGACAGTAAAGAAGAGACTAGTTTAAGGTTCGCCTATTAAAAAAAAAATTACTCCGATAAAATTTTATTATTAATGCAAAAGATGATCGTAAATTTTACAATTTTATTAATTCAAACATTAATTGCACTAAACAACACTTACAATAAGAAGATAATAAATATTAATAAATGTTATTTATAAATGTATTAAGCTCTCTATCACACAAGTAAAATAAAAATTTAAAGAATAAAATTGCTCAGATTGTGTAAAATATGTATTAGAAAATATTATAAGTTACATTATTATATAATAATAAATATTTTATTATACATTTATTTAATATGTTTGTTTGTATTTATCTGGATATACCATTAGAGTCCTAAAATATCCTTACCCTAAAGAAGTTAAATGCAACAGAGTAAAGTCCTTTTTCATTCATTGTGCACTAATTGTATTTATTAACATTTTAAATCTAAATCTGTTTTTGAAGAATTATAATTAAAAATCCTTACATATGTCTATATAAGCATACATTTACTCATAAATATCATCAATATATGTCTTCAATTTGATCAACTAACTTTGTTATCTATAGTCGATATAAATGTTTCAATGTAGATTGAATGTTTTAAAAAATTTGAAACAAAAATATAACTATAACAATAATTTTCTCTGTTTATATTACACGTAAATATATACAAGAGAATTAAAAATATTATAAACTAATTATGATAATGTAACAGTTACCATTACAGCAAAGATGTATTCTATTAAATTTTTTGTTTGCAAAATGTTTATCCAGTTTTATAATATAATTCAATTAAATCATTCTGCTTTAGGTATTTACTGTTATATAATATTAGGTAATACCATAAATTGTGCATACGTGTTTAACATTATACAATTTATAAAACTACATTCAATTTTACTCTTTTATATTTACTTATATTATTTTATTTGTTTTTAACACACTATTAAATTGTTATTAAATTATTAATAAAAATGATCACAATTATGTTTAGAATGTTTTTAAATACTTATCTGCAGCTTAACGATTGATTATCTTCGTAAGGGGTTGCTAAGGGTAAGGTTTGAAAACCAGTTTTACTTTCTTTAATCGATCTTTAACACAATTCCAAGAATTCCGTAAAAAAAATGTTCTTTCGTACGTTTTAACATACTCACGATACCTCTTGTACGTTGACGAGTTTCTCGATGATAAGAGTAAAATTGTTATATCATTGATAGTATTTCTTATCAGACAGCTGATTCCGCAGCTGACAAACAGGAGGGCGCAACCAGCGGTTCTCTCTCGCTATCCTACCTCCTCCCTCTTTGCTACCACCGCCTACGTTCAAGCTGAATTCAACATTGACCATCGACGAACGAGCTTCGCGCAGTGCAAAAGGCGCGTACGTGTCGCGCTAATATGGAAAAATGAGTCGGGCTCTACGCGCCGTCGATCTCTCGCTCGTCGCACGGGTATGGAAAACGTAATCGCGTAATGCGAACATTACGTTTACGGAGTGTCAGGGTGCAGCGTTAGCATGAGCATTTCCCAAGACAGCGCTGCTACGATCGTGTGCAGGGAGGTTTTTGATGAGACGTCTCACCCGACGAACGAAGGTACGTGCGGGAATAATCAAAGATTCCCTCCCATTCCTGCTCCCTCCGTCGCATCAACCATGGTGGATTCTGTGAATTGAACTCGTCGATTATATATTGTGGAGCAACGCTCGTCTAGAAGTAGGGCGTCCATTGCCAAACTGATCGATGTTCCGTCGTTTCATTCCGTATAACGCCCTATGCCTTTGCAATATTGTGTAATTCTATACACTCTTGTTCTTGCCTCAAGGGTGAGAGCTCTGTATTATCTTTTCCATGCGGACAATTGGAAAATCCGTCGTACACTTGACTAATGAATCAGATCCGACGTGATATTACCGGCAAACTTGTATACATTATATATGTGTACAAAAAGCGCACAAAAAAATTAATTATCGCTTGGATTCAAACTAGGCGAAGTCTGGATCCTTCTCACTGCAATGAAATCACTATATCTAGGCCACAATAGTGATTTCATTTTTCCTATCCTACACACATACTTCTCTCTCCATTTACTTCATCTCTCATTTTATCACATTTCGATATCTAGATTTTTTTTGAAAGCATAAAAATGTTACTGTATCTCTATTGTTAGATATCTTGTTATGCGACAATCATGAAAATTGTGCCCAGCATGTTAGCTCAATAGATACTGAATATTGATAAGATTTTCAAACGAAATTGTTTACTGAATTATTTTAGCCTTAATTTTTTATTGTACATAATTTTAATGTACAAATCATCGTAAGTCAATGCTCTCTTACAATAAGAAGCAATCAAAAAAATTCATAGCCACGTAAAAAGTAAAATGATGTAAACAAGTGATGTTTCTAAAAAAATGTGCCACTTAAAATCAGTCTGAAAGCAAAGAAAAGTGTAAAAGAGACCTATATATATATATATATATATATATATAGCGAGTTTCCTTGTTTATTTACATCACGCCTGGCGGGAATACCGAGCCCGTTCCCAGCGCGCTCCGGAAAATCAATAATTCGCAGTGCGGCGAAAGTTTTGTCATACCATTCGAGCGTCTTTGTGCCACATTTCAGTCGTATAAACCCATCTTACCCATCAGCCGAAATTTTTCAAACTGTCGACAGAGTTTGGAGTAACAATTTTACTGCCAAAACTTCCGTTCGCGAAGATGAATCCCATTACAGTAGCTGGAATCACGATTGATCAAACTAGTAAAATGAGGACCAACACTTTGACCAACGGCATAAGGGCAGATGGTAGCTCGACTTGCCCCCCACACGGCAGCCACCGCCACCTGTCCAGTCGTCTGGACTGATGGAATTTTTTATTGGGGCCTTTTATATTCGTGGTACTTCTTCATAACTGCTTACGGCAGACTGAAAATTTGCATTGATAACCCCACGGTGACTGACCTAGGGCCACTGTTATTTTCTATTCCCTGCCAAAGTTTTTCATCACTCTTTTAATTGAAAAAATAGTTCGGATGAAGGAACACTTCAGGTGCTGTGTTTATTAATCAGTGGCAATCTGCATAATGAAAAAGGTGGAATATGTCATTTGCACGCAAACAGAATTTATAAAAATTTTATATAATATTTTCCAAAATAGATTTTGCCTTTTTTAATTATTTTTAACATCAAATTTTTTGCTGGATATCAAAACATATTGATATTATACAATACAATAAAGGATAATTCTTACAGGAAAGAATATTTCCTACACTTATGTTTGGCAAAATTAAGAAACAAAGCAATCATTCGTTAATTGTTGCTAACAAACTTAATTGATCAATTAATGTGCATAATAGATTTTGCATTAAATTAATTTAAAAAAAAATATTTCTTGTATTTTTCTTGTGACATTGAAAAGTTCGGAGGAGATATTAACATTTAATTTTAGAACTTATGCTTATATTATTTCTCACGTATCACGTGCATATACTTATTTTATATATGCAAGTATTTGTAAAAATTATAAATTTTGCGATAAATTAAGAGAAACAATCAAAGAATTAAATCTACGTTGTTTCATAATATGTATATAAGATTTAAATAATTTTTTTTTAATTACAATTCATCGATAATTATAAGCGGATTAAATAATACCGAATATTAGCCCAATATTAAATTTAATTATTTTATATTTATCCTATTTTGGGAAATGGTAATACGCTCTTGTATTAAAACTTTTGTTTTATTAACGAATAATATGACCGAAAAAGCGCATTACACTATCGCAACAATTTTCATGAAAAGAGGTAACTTTGCGCTTTAATACTTTTAACCTGGTTAACTGTGTGATCAATGAATTGTACAATTTGCCTATGCTCGATATAATAAGATACAGGGATCCACTTTCTAGTGATTAAAGTTTACAAGGGTATTATTAATAAATCATACTGCAGTACTGGATAAAAATACTATATGCCGTAAATAATTAAATTAACATTGACTCGAATTCATCGAAGATTTTATATCCCTTTATTGATTGATAAAAAAAAGTGTTTAAAATGGTACATTAGAATCATCGCGATACATGAAAGGTTTTATTTTGCAAATTAAAGAAAAAAATTTTTATTTAAATACACATTTCTATTTAAAAACATTTTTACATTTTTTATGTCCTGTATGAAACTAGGCCACACATTTTAGCGCATCCTTACTATTATTAATTACAATCTTTCTTTAATCGAATAATAATATTGACTCATTACTCGTATGACAGACACAATCAGCATTATACTTACGATAGTGATGTACTAATAATTAATTTAATAGACAACAATATAATTCCAGAGTTATTGGATTATGCAAAACGTTTGGGAATTGATCCCGATGCGGAACCACACCTTCTGGACTTGGCCCGTGAGGGTCTTATGGCAGCCCTACCTAAGGGATGGTCTCCATGCTTCCATGAAGCTAGTGGTGCCTGGTATTATTATCAGGCATCTACCGGCACTACTACCTGGGAACATCCCCTAGACGCAGTTTACAGAGGGCTCGTGGAACAAGCTCGAGCTGGGAACAAAAGGCAACTGAGTCTTGGTATGCGTATCATAATACTTTACGTTTGTTCTGTAAATATCTTATTTCAAAATTATGACAGTAAATCATATCTTTTTATATATCTTATACTTATTTTATATATCTTATATAAGCTATACAGCTTTGCGCTTGCACTTTTAAATTATTCTTCTTCTTTTAAATTATGACGTCTTAATGGATGTCAGACAATATACAAATTAGAATATTGAAAGTAAAAGAGATCTTTTGTTATTTATTTCTAAAAGAACAATTAAAGATTAGTTTTTTATATAAAATTACAATATATTACATTTAAAATTCAGGAAAAGAACTAAATATAATATTAAATTTGTTATTTATAAAGAATGTATCTTATACTTTTTAATTTAAACGATTTAGAAAAATTGTGTTTTTGCCTCGACAGTTATTTCAATTAATGTAATGATATTTTTCGCAAGCTACTTTTGTTGTATGCCTATTTCAATTCCCAGAAAGTTATAAGTAATTTAATCTACAAGTCGGTGTTAATCGCACGTATACTATACGCTCATGTAATACTCAACACTGACGTGCATCGTCGTCCGCGCTTCACAATAATCAGTAAAATCATGCAACTTGGCAGTGCCATGCTTTGGCTTTGCGTCAAAATTACGAAAAATATCATATTTTTAGATCTTTCTATAGCGTATCGGCCATGGATATCATTCCGCCGTTAACAAGAATTTAATATGCTACTTCTCAACTTATATAAAATGTTACTGAAAAAATTTTCGATTTAATAAATATGTCATATTTAGTCTTTTTATGAAAAAAAAAAATATATTTTGTATATTAAAAATTCTACCTATATGTATATATATGTTCTTGAAAAAAATGTGTATATACACATATATATTTTTTTCAAGAACACTTCGATTATACGCTTACTAAATAAATAGATTATTAGATGTAGTTTACAGTTACATATAATTGCAGTTATATAAACTGCAATTACATAAAAAGTAATATATTAATATTTGTCAGAACAGTGTGAAGTAAGATTAAAATATTCAAAAAAGAGAGGGGAATAAAAGTTAAAATGATATTTATATTTAACTAATTGTTTAGTTTAATAATCGCATTTAAAGTAAAAAAAGAACTTTAATATACTTATGTTCTTAAAATAATTATAATAGTACCTACTATTATCTATATCAGTTTCCTGAATCGGTTGAATCAACTCGCTCGAACTAACGAACGGATACTATGCACTTCATAAATGTTACGTAAATGACTAACAACTTCAAGACCTTGAATATTACTGACTTCGAACACTTACAGTCGCTCCTCACTTTTTGCAATAATCATGTTTATGTAATCGAACGCTCTCATCGCGGAGACACAATTTTTCTTCAATTTCTGCTCATAAAACTTTAATTGAAAATTAATAAACTCCGCAGAAAAAAAGGACAGCAATTTCCTCGCTACTTGTAATTTTAATTTTTGATATTCTTCGTTTACAATTGTAAAATAAAAACTATGACAAATTATTTTCTCTTATTTTGTACATAAATAATCTTATTTTTTTATGCTTCAGCAATTTTATTCTTTAATAAACAAAAAAAGTTTTTTGTTTTTATACGTAAAACCTTGCATACGCTTTGCAATTCCACTTATCTCTGATTACATTTATGTTTGCCTCAAAGGGATTAATTTTTACATTAAATTATATTTATTAGTATTAGTAGCATATTTAGTCGTAAAAAAAATTCCATCAGATATTACAAAAAATGTAACAATAGAAATAACAGAAAGAAAGAGAAAGAATTATTTTTTTAAATGTTGCAGAAGAAGATTCGAAGACTACAGCAAAAGATCTTGAGTCTCACGAGGACGCAACTTTACCGAAGGAAACTATTATTCCAAAAGAAAGTATTAAAGAAACTGTTTATGCGAAACCTAGCATGGCAGGTACTAAAATTCCCATGAAACTGGCACCCTTACGGAAAGTCGAGAAAATCGACAGTTCACGTAAGAAGGATCCTCCTTCCTCCTTTGATAGGCTTCAGTCGAGGAGAGAAAGTGATTCGAAATCCGACAATGTAATATCCTTGTCGAGCGACCGAGCCGCGAGGGATTATACGAACTTAAAGTTTCAAGACCCGAAATTTTACGAATGCCCTAAGTTGCTCGAGACAAGGGATACGACTGCGACAAGCGCAACAAACGCAACAGCAACATCGGCGAAGAAAGAGCTTGATTTGAAGGAAGTACTGAAGAGATCTGAGTCGCTAAGTCCGTGGCATGAGAAAGATTGGGAACAGCTCTCCAGCAAATTCAGTTCGGAAGAGAACATAATCGACATCGACAAACTCAGCGCCAGCACATTAGCCAAACCGGAGAAACTCGAGAAATTCGACAAAGAGAAACATCCAAGTCAGTTGAGTCAACAAAAGGAGTTGACTCTTAGCGGTGGTGGCTCGATGTTTCTAAAAAGCAATAGGAGTAGAGATACCACACCTAGCCATGATGGCGGCAAGCTGGAAGACTTCCGAGCATTGACAATTTCCGACGAAACCAACAACATGATTGGTGACAGGCCCAAATCCATTTTGAGGGAAAAGCAACTTGAAGATGGTAAGATAAGATTCAGGATATTTTTTCATCTGTATAGACACTTATTCCGATCATTTATGAGGTGACTTTATCCAACGTAATCTATACGATACTTAAGAAAGTAAAAAATAAAACTATATATTTAAAAGAAAACAAAGATATTTATGTTTCACGATAAGTAGACGCAATAATTTAAGTATCTATACGGAAAGAACGATTTTGTTGAAAGGTCTAAAAATTTAGCTAAATACAAATCTGAAAATAATTTCTTGTTGAATCATCAAAATAATTTGTTGAAATGTTAAAACTGATAAGCATTGCTATAAAACGTTTTGATATTCTAGCAATCATTTTGACTTTCGTACCAAATTATTTTGATTATTGAGCAAAAATTATTTTCAGATCTGGATTCAGCAAAAGTGTTCTTTCCGCGGTGTATGAATAAAAATCTTAAGTATTTTTCACATCTGGATTTTTTAGTATTTATTAAAACAATTTCATCATTATAATCTGACTTTTATTTTTTTAATTGTCGGCAGACGATCGACCATTGGACGAGGAACGCAAAAGCGTGCGTTTTGACTTAGAAAAGGAATTCAACATTAATTTCACGTATTCCGAGTCCGAGGATGACTGGGATTCCGAATCTGAAGATAAGAATCTACGGATATCAGCTGTGATCAGCGATAAAATTACTGGTTCCATACTATCTCCGTGGAAATCAACCTCGGAAAATTTTGAGGACAACGATGATAAAAACGACTATTCTAATGAGAAAGATCAGAATAAAATGGATTCAGAAATCGACAGAGAACATTTGCCTGTAGAGAACATCGAATCCATATCAAAAGATGTGAAAATAGTTGGCAAGAGATTTCTCGTGCAAAACGTTTCGGAAAATGAACATCGTAGTCAAATGATGATGAAGAATACTCTAGAAAGGGACAATAGTTTTGATTATCTACCTAATAAATTAGGTGAAAAAGTGAAAAACATTGACATAGTGTCAAAAAGCGAAACAGATTGTAGCACTGCGAAAAGCAGTGATTCCGATGAGATGCGCAAAACAAAATTAATTATTGAAAAAGCAAGACACGCGACAAATCGCTTGTCAAATCGACAACTCGAGGACGATGAGTCATCTGATATATCGAGGTTCAATCAAAATTACGCGCAGAAGGAGCGATTTGTCCGACCCAAATTAGAATACTCTCGAAGTATTGACGATATGAAGGTGAAAATGAATAGAGAACATGAGGAAGAAATTGAAGCCTTCAGAATTGAACTCGACATTAAGCTGCAGGAAAGAAAAAAGGAGTTAGAGGAAAATTTTATGCGACAGAAGATTTTAATACAACAATTTTTGGATAAAAAATTAGAAGAAATAAAACAGGAAATGGCAAAAAAGGTATTTCTATTTTATTTTAATGTCATCAGGGGTGTAATGTTATCATATCATGTAAATATTATAAATTGTAAAACTTATCTGGAAAAAGATACAACTATCGCGCTTTCTGGTTGTTAATTTCTTAAAATCTATTGTACATTGTTTTTTCATTTTAATTTTGTTATAAAAATTTATTTTTAATAAAGAACAAATACACTTGACGATAACACAATTATATATTAAATATTATATTATTTCATATCTTAAAACAATATTACAAATATATTTTCAACTGAATTATCTAAAAATATTTTTTTGTTAATTTAACGTGAACTTTTACTCGTTAAAAATCTATTACACATTTTTTCATAGGAAGAGCAGGAGATACAATTATTAATTACTGAAATGGATCAAGCTAGAATGGAAAATTTGAAAAAAGTCCGCACGGAACTAGAGGTCTGCTATGAAAAAGAGAGACAAGAGATATTGACCAATCTAAAGACAGAACTCGACGAGAGGAAAAGAGAACTTCTAAAATTAAGGAGTCAGGAGATGGGCAAGCTGGAGAATGAGCACGAACGTAACCTAGGCGAGGAAAAGCTCGCAAAGCTGAAAGAATATGAACTGAGGAAGCAGCATACCGAAAGGATCGAAACTTTAAAGAAAGAACTGGAAAAAGAATTGGAAGATTTAAGAAACGAATTAAGGGTACAACAACGAGAAAAGATCACTAAATTCACCGAAGATCATGAGCAGTGCCTAGCCGAAATTCTTCGCGACTTTAGAATGGATGTAAGTATTTAATATTTCAGTAAAAAAAAATATTATTATCAGCAATATATAATTTCAGAATAATAAAATTAAAACATTTTTTAAATATTTGGAAATATATTTATTGGATAATAGTTTAAAAACATTTATAAAATATTATATAAGAACGTTGATAAAATTCAATATTTTAAAAAGTCGATCTGGTGTTTTTTGCTTACTGAATACATACCTACATATACCTGTTTATATTAAATGTGTAATAGTTAATCTATTAATGGTCAATGTGTATGCGTGTGTGTGTGTGTGTGTGTGTGTGTGTGTGTGTGTGTGTGTGTGTGTGTGTGTGTCTATTTTCGAGAATAATTTATTATTATAAAGATTTTAATAATAATAAATAATCTTTCTTTGATCTTGTTAAGCATATAATTTTGAAATATATCGTAAAATAATCTAAAAAAATAATTACACACACACACACACACACACACACACACACACACACACACACATATATATATATTTTGCATAAAAATTTGCATTCTTCAAAGGAGATTTCGATTACTTGTAATCGAGAAAATACTTGAAGATAATTATTTGCTGAAAATATTTGAATATAATTAATCCATAATTAATATATCCGATTTTAGGAAGCTCTCGCTCGTAAGATGTATAAAGAGCGACTAGAGGAAATCCGCGCAGATTTTGCACGTGACGCCGAGAAGGAGACGAGAAAACAGACCGAGCGGGCTCTTCAACAAGAAAGCATCGACTTTGAAAAGATGCGTTGCGAAAAACGGTTACTGCAGGATAAGTATACGGCGCTTAAGGAGAAGTATATGAAGCTGAAGAACGAAGTTCGTCTTGCAGTCGAAAGAAGAAGCAGAAGAAAGGAAGGATATACCACGGCCTCGGAAACCGAAAGATCGACATCCACTAGAACGAGGACGGACAAGACCGATTCGTCGGAACAAAAGTGAGTTTTTTCAATACAAGCGGCGTCGAGACTCATAACTTGATGTACATTGAACATTTTTACATGTTGAAATAAGCTAGTGTGAGAAGCATAGTAGAAAAGAAGTTTAGCACTAATAATATTATTTAAAGACTTTCTTCTCACTCTTCATGCAATTTTCTCTTTTACGTTAATGACTAAAGTAGACTTGATAGATAAAAAGAAGAAACTTGAATAATGACGTCTATTCTGTAATTATAATCTTTTGAATAAAAATCCGTGGAATTAAATAGTGATTATTTCTTACTTTAACTGGTTTATTTCAGCAGGTATACATTTGATAATAACAAATGATATTATTGTTAACGATAACAATGTACAGTAGTCAACTTTTATAATTCTTGTTAATATAAGCACGCTCGGCGTACAGCACAAGCATGCCATTTCATGTTACATCTCATTAATATTTTCTGCCTTTTATATAATCACTTGATGGTTTTTATAGTAATTAGCGAGATATAGTAATTAGCTTGTAAAAGTTTTCTTCTCATTCTTCATATTGATGATTTTCTCTTTTATGTTAATCACAATGTGACTGAACGATTTGATAGATAAAGAGATGAAACTTGATAATAATGATATACATATCTATTTTATAATTATACTCTGCTTTATGTTACCTTTGTGTTGTTTTTTCTGGAATTATTAACAATAGCAACAAAATTCTTTCTTGTGATCTTTGTTTAAACATTTTAAAATAAATAAATAAATAAATAGATATTCTACCATCCAACAGGAAGTAGGAATAATCGGTTTTAAATGGAGCCCTGTATTCATAAATCAATTCGATGATTAAGGCTAATTAATTTATGTATTTAGGAAAATCGTAATAATTAATAAATATATTCTCGCTAGTTTCTATGTCAAAACACCAATGTTGCACGTTCATTTTCGATATCACATTAATATACCTTCATTTTAGTACCTTCGCAGTCTGTATCGTCGTATATAAATCTTTATTCGGGCAATGAGCAACGCATATGTCCTTGTTAAAAATACGATCGAACTGTGAAGGTACTTGGTCATGTTCATACGATTCGCCCTAATGTCTGGCTATAGGCCTTAAATCGTGCTCGCAGTACTCCGCTGAAGAACGCGCGTTCGAGCCCAGTAACAAACGCGAAATCGCAGGACGGCCAGAGCGCGAGCGAGCAAGTCGAAGAGCAAAACGATCCAGAAGATTTGAGGAGCCAGAAAACGGCCGCGGGGTTTCAGAAACACGCATCCGCCGTTGCTGGCTTGAAAAGTGCAGCAAAATTTGAGTCCGACGATACTACCACCGCCAGCGAGACGAACACTAACGTGGTAACGAAGAAAAAGAAGAGTTTCAATAAAAAAGCTTCGAGCGCAGGACGCTCGAGTAGTAGTAATAACAATGTGGAGAATCCAGTGGAGAATATTAGGAAACAGCTGAAGAAGCTGGAAGATCTCGGTGACCAATTACCGAGCAATGAAACGGCCTATACAGTGCGATATCCTTTTCAAGATAAAGGTGATTGTTTTAAATTTATCTCGCGCGTTATATTATTCAGGGGGATACCTTCCTTTTTTTTTCTATGGGAATATAAATTATCTTTGAATCCGTAGAAATTTAGATTTATATAAAATAAATCAGATCGGATCAGTTTAAAAATATTATTTACATTGTTTAAGGAGTTGTTTGATATATGTAACTCCATCCGTAATTTTATTTTTTGAACGCTTTTTATCCTTTTTTAATTTTTTATACGAATATAAAAGCTTATACAATAAAAAATATGTTAGTGTACAATTAGAAAAAGAAGTGGTTTAATTTCAGTTATAAAATAAACAATTTTACTTTAGAATATCTCGTAGATAGTTTTACATTTTATTAGAGTAAATAATAACGTTACCTCGAATTAAAAAATATATATATGTAATTAATACTTTTCTACATTATATTGCGATATTTTAGAAAAGATTACGTAAATAATCAATAAGATGTTAAATATTTATATGTGTATTTGACAATTGTAAATAAGCGTACTTTTGTATGTATATGTATACTTTTTGCAAATTAGCTTTATTATAATATTCTTCTTTGATCACACTTTTCTGTTTCTATTAAGATACATCACCAAATAATTCACACAAGATAAAATTACTACTCTAATTAATTACATATTTATTTTATTTTCTGGCACGGCATATAATCGTTATTATCAATTACATATCTTGATTCTACAAATGTGTAAATAATTCGTCAAATATAATTTTCTTAAGGGGGAAACCTAGTTTAGGACGCTGAAAAATAGATGATTTTCGCGAATTTTTTAAACAAAGAAAAGTAAAGTCAATCTTTTCAAAACTGTAAGGATACTTTACTGGATACTTATAGTACACAAAAAAATGTTTTTAATTAAAAAAATTTAGGATAATAACGTCACAATAAATAAGTGTTTACAACGCTTCGCTACGGGAGTTACAAATTGACGTGCAAAATAGAAAAAAATCTATTTAACGTATCGACTTTATTCAAAGTTCTTTATTTAAATTATTATCAATCATCCTAAATAAACTAAAAACATGTTTAAAAAGTGTAAAATTGTAAAACTTTTAGGACTTTAAAGAAAAAATGACAATTTTGAAAATAAAGTTTCACTTTCTTTATGCAGTAAAAATTGTTTAGATTAACTTTTTTAAACATGTTTTTAATTCATTTAGAATGGTTGACAATAATTTAAATAAAGAACTTTGAATGAAGTCGATACGTCACATAGTTTTTTTTCTATTTTGCACGCCAATTTGTAACTCCAGTATAGCGAGGCGTTTTAATCACCTATTTATCGTGACATTATTATCTTAAACTTTTTTAATTAAAAATTTTTTTGTATACTATAAGTATCCAGTAAAGTATCCTTACAGTTTTGGAAAGATCGACTTTATTTTCCTATGTTAAAAAAATTCGCGAAAATCATTTATCTTTTTCAGTGTCCTAAACCAGGTTCCCCCCTTAAGTTAAACTTGTTATATATTATTATTTGTGTACCCATTACTCTATTATTTCAATCGATGCAGCATAATTTCAATTGAATCTTATATTATTTCTCTTTTTTTGTAGGATTATATACACTTTACTTTGGTTAACGGTTTATGTAAACTGGCTCGTAAGTGCACCATCAGTTTTTCTTTTGCTTTTGCACGCTATTTTCATAAATCCATTTTCCTGCCATCTTTTTCATCTCGATATCAAGTTTTAAACATTTAAGCCTTACACTTAGATACTTAATATGAAGTATGATTTTAATTGAAAGCAATAGTATTTCCCTTTGCAGCGCCGGCGAATGCCTCCTCGGAGCTAGAATTCTTCCGACATCGGATGCATGTGGAGAAGGATTCGGTGAGGAGAGCTTGCGAGGCGCTGAGACAACAAAAAAGTGCCTTTCAGGGTAGGCAAAGAGCTTGGAAACAACGGAGCGGAAGAGCCACTCTAGAACAACTGGTGCAGGTATTACTATTATCGATTACAAAACAAAAATGATAGTTTATTACAGAAGGCCTTTTAATATAGTTCTGCATATAATAAACCTTAATCTTAATCTCTTTTAATGTGCATTTTTAAATTATCATTTTATTTTAAATAAAATATGCAAGATAAGCTCATGATTCTACGTATCTCTATCCTTTTCAATAACGAATAAGAAAATACGTCTGTAGAGAGATATTTTTAATGGTACTTTTATCAAAAATTAAAAAAAAAATGGGTTTTAAATAGCCATCTTTATTCAGGAGGAACGCGAGCTTTCTGATATGGAGGTGAGCTTGCATCGCACCAAAAGTCTTTTAGGTGAAAAAATCATTCATCTAAGACACCTTGAACAATCTCTGGAACGAGTGGCAAACGACAAGCGAAATGAAAACGAAGCTAAAAATGAGGAGCTAAGCGACATGTCGAGTGCCAGCAGCGGTTTCAGCTCGACTGATTTAGTAACTGATACTTTTATAGGTGAGTTGCAGATAAAAAGAAATTTCAGAATTATTCTTTGTATTGTTTCGTAATGTTAATAATAAATGACAATTATTTTGTTTTACACTCTAATTTGTAGCCTTTATAATTTGATGCATTAATAAAATTTTATCATTATTTCCATTCTTTTGTCAATTCTTACTATAGTTTAATTATTTGCTAAAAGTAAAAAGAAGATAAATTTGCTTTTTACGTAGTCACTTCTGTGTATCTAGTAGTTATTTTATAAATTATCATCAGTTTTATTAAAGAAACAATTGTATATCTCATTTTACAAAGATATATCAGAAGAGATAAATTATACAATCATGCAATAAAATACATACCCGCTATATAATTGACAACATAAATTTGCATTTTACATTGTATAGTCTGTTGTTGGAAATCTAGATAAGCCAGATCATTACCAAGAATCTACTGAAATTATTGCGAGTTTAGAGAATTTAAACTCAGAAATACGAGAAATTTGGGATGTTTTGAATAAACGTCAAGACAGTAGTATACCTCCAACACCGTCACTTATGTACTCTTATTTGCGTTGGTTGCGGTTTCATCATCTCACCACGCAGCCTAACAGCATGCAAGGTAAAGAAAAGGAATTTATAATTTGTACATTAAAAATTAAAGCGGGATTATTATGAGTCACTCTTGAAATACCAAATTGAAATTAATTAATATTGCGCTCCTATAAATATACAATATCATTGGATATGTATTTTAATGTAGTATTTGTTAGTATTATACAATAATTATTTTATTAAATTTTTCACATCGAATCACGTCAATAGGATTTAAATCAAATTTTCACACATGCAAAAAGATTATTTTAATATAAAAATTGTTTTTATCTACAAGGAAATGCAAATATGAGCAACTTTTATTTTTTTTCCTTTTTTAGGTGCCTTTGGTACGCCCAATATACAATCTAACATCCTATCTCAATTAACTGCTGCACAGCCTCCTATTACTACAACTCAAAATATTATCGCTCAGTATGGCCCTAATAGCGGCTTTAGCACCAGCGTTGGTACAGTCGAGAGGAATGCCTCGAATTTGATGGAAAGGTCCAGAAACCTCAGGGATTGGTTACGCCAAGCTCGCGTTGAAAATACTGACTTGATTAGTCCTGGTCAGGCGACTCTTTAAAAGGTCTACGTTTAAAAAATATCTCGTCTCATTCCAAATTTCATTTCTTCTACAAAGTTGATCCGTGTTCTTATATAATTTGGAACTTTGATGATTAATTGAGGGTATAGTGTTGTCTTATGTAATTATTTAATTAGCGATACTTGATTATATAGTTTGTACATTTAATACTTTTATAATTAATAATGTATTGACTGTGCAATTTATTTATTCAGTTCATCATTCATACTATTTTGCATGAATTATGACTGTGAATTCGTTAAAATTAATTTTGTAAACTTTCATTTACAATTAAAAATAATCCTATTTGAAATAGAAACGTGTCGAATTTGTATGAAAAATCTGCGCTCATTTGTCGCTTCAAATGTTGTTTCTCTCTTTGCTAAATCGTCATAACTGCCAAGAATACGGTATAATATCATTGCGACAAGGTAAATTCACATATGGATGAGAAGGAAATTGGACATGATAATTATGATGTAAATACATGTAAATGGCCCAAAGCCGTTTACAACATTTAATATAATTAAAGTTTAAATCATGGAAATTTGATTGATCGGCGATCGCCCTTTATATAAAAATTGAAATAATTCTATTGACAACTTTAATTTGAAATTATCGAAATCTTAATCGACAGTTTTAGCATAATTGTTTTATGTAATTGACCTGTTGATACGACGCATAGTATGCATATTATTTGATAGCCGAGACAAATAGTATGCTTTTCGTGACTCTGTCGACTTTATAATTCGACGTTCATACCGAACAGGTTAAATATCATATACAGAGATCGAGGCTAATACATATAATACGCGCAGAAAAGTATATAAAAATGTTCACGTATATCAATTTATATAAAATGCTACACTTGACTTTTCTTTACAAATTTTTTGATAGCTAAATATTGCGAAATTATCATATGAAAAAATTAGAATCAAATTAAAGAATTATCCATAAAACTTAAAATTAGTTTCAACTTTTGTCTTCCAATCGTTTTGATCGTTTTATATACATTCAATCACTTGTATGTTTAATTAATATATCTGCGAATAATAATAAACACTATGACATTTTTTATTATTAAACTTTATATTACATTGTACGTAAAAAATTTGTAAATTAATAATACTGTAGGATTGGCGTATATGCATATATTATACTTATAAATAGGATCTGATGGGTAGTCTATGTATATTGTAAATAAATATTTCAATGTCGAGATTTTGATGTTATTACGGGCATAACGTCTATTATATAATGACCGTAATCTTGGCAAAATATCTCTACACTTAATCAGTCATTTTTCAACTGCCAAAACTTTCTTTTAACTAATAAATGATAGATATTATACTGTATAGATCATGTAAAATACGTATTATTATAAATAAATTGAGTATATGCCAAATGTTTGTTGGTCAATCGTATTTCCAACGATGACCATTCTAATATAATATATTGACTATAATCAACTTTTAGAGAAAGGCGATAACATATAAACACATAGCGTTTATATAAATTGTGTCACACAATATCGTGATCTCATTAGATATATGATGTAAATTAATTAGTTGACGATTGCACACTTTGGAATATAGATGTAATATCTAGTTGATTAAATAATTATATTGTAACTTTATATGTATAATTTCTATGTATTGACTTATGAAACTATAAAATTATATGTAGACGAAATATTATTTTATTTAAATTATATAATTACTTGTAAGTACAACTCTCTCTCTCTCTTACACAAATAGTATTTTAAGACAACACAAGAAACGTTTATCGAATTTGAGATAAATTATGAAATGATTATATGTAAGAGATGTGCATTTTACATATTTGATTAGATGCAAGGGAGATATCATATGAAATAATATATCTAATAAATTTTTATAATTTGTGATATTACAATTTTTATAATTTTAAATCTGTGTTTGTGCCATACTTTGTGCCGTACATTAATGAAGACAGTCATGATAACTTGATGAGAATTTTTAAGATTAATACACAAAAAACGAGCAATATAGATAATATATATTTTAAAACATGCAATTATATTTATACATACATAATATTTTGTTCAATATTTATATTTCTGTTATTATTAGTACAAGTTATATATATTATATAAACTTAAGATTATTAAGATTGATATATTCGGCATTGTGCATGTATCAATAATGCTATTAATACAGATTAATTTATATACCTATAATAGTAGGCAGATTAAAATATTAATCCATATTAATGAAAAGAGAGAAAAGGAAAATAGATGATTTAGATTATATATTATTATTTTTTGTTTTTATAAGTTCTTACATGTTAACAGATTAATTATAATTAAAAGTACTTGTAATAAAATTCTAGATTCCAAAGTGTATATAGACTCTTTGTATTAGCACCGCCCTTATTATATCGAAAATATTTTTTTATGTATCTAAGTAAGTTTAGTATTAATTAGCGAATTAGTGTACATTATGATAATTATTTGATTAATCTGTATTTCTACTTATATTGTGCAATCATTGTCGCGTATTTTGCTTACAACAACATGTTGTGCATGGAAAACATAGCAACTTGAATCTCTTGTGCAACACGATAATAGATTATATATAGAGAAAGATTTCCACGCGTGTACTTTTATGATTGCATACGTACTCCAATTATTATTTTCTGCGCTGAATATTTTATTTCATGTAAAGAGTAAAAATAATTGTTAATCTTCGAAACATTTTAATCTGTAATATAAAATAAAAAAGAGAAACTCAATTATATCTATACAAACAATAAACTTGTTGAAGATACTTATTATCTAACACTTTAACACAGAAATATATCTTTGAGTTTTCTAACGAGAACATTTCATCGTTTCCTAGCTTCTTTACAATAATAATAATAATTATGAAAATAAACGGCAATCGGTATGAATTTTCTCGCATTCGTCGCTGCTTATTTCAAAATCCTCTTTAGATGGTAACCACCCAATAATTCGATGCATATAATCCTGCGATTTATTATTAAGGGACGTTTGCGCTGCGTGTATAATCGGAGATGATTTGCACAGTAATAATCGAATACAGGCAAAATCAGAACCAGTCACTCTCGCTATCAACTGATTTGGTAAATTCGGATTTCTTGCTTGATCAACTAAATTTCGAATCTATTAAACATATTTAAAAAATTTCTTTATAAATATAATATTTTCGATGCCATTATTTGAATTGTGTGTACGTATATAATATTAAAGTATTCAAATTCATAACATTTTATACTAATCTCATATAACTTCTTCATTTATTATTTATATAAAAATTGAAATCTCTCTCCTTTATTTGTAACAACTTACATTCTCATTTTTATTTTCCAAAGTAAATTTTAAAGGATCCCAAGCAAATTCTTCGTCGTCCATGTTCCTGGCGATATTACTTTGCGACGATTTCAGTCCAAAAAGCGTACTTATCTGTCGAAATAAATAATCTAAACGTTTTAAATTTTATGAAAATAGAAAATGTTACTACAACTACTATATAGATATATAATTATTATATTGTACATATAATTAGATAATTTATAATATATGTATATCTAACCAAATATATTTAATTTACCATCTGTGCAAGAAATACAACACTATTGACTGCGATTGCTGCGACTTTTTGTGAATCAAATCTAATAAGTCGAAGGAATGCGGAAACGAAATTTGAAGGACCAAACGGTTGCTTTTCATCATTCCCGTCTTCTCCTCGTTTTTGTTTTTGCTTATGACCTAAACTCTTAGACACCAAGTCGGCAATGTCCTTAGCCGTTTCCAAATAGTTACTGGCATACTGTAATCCTGCCTTTATTTTATCCAGAACATCTAAAGTCAAAAATATTTAATTGCTTTTATACACAACAATTTATATTTTAGCCAGCAGATTTACCAAAGCTAAACGAAAGTTTAATTCTTCGGAAGGAAAATACAATCACCTTCGGTTTTTGTAAGTTGCACTTTGTCAAATATAGTTATCCAAAGAACACAAAAGAGAAAACACGAGACGCTGGACATTTCGTCGAATCAAACTGTTCAACAATACTGAAAGACTACTACCAAGGATATAACGGGTGTTTTGCGTTAATTATACATTTATTTCTATTCCGTTGCGTCCCCGACAAAGTTCCTATTATGCGACTTGTCACTCTTCTTGCTTCGTCAGCCAAGCGCAAGAAAACGGCATCCGTATTTCGCAGCACGATTCAGTCGCGTTCCTGTTAGAAGCCAGTAAAAAGGTTGATTAAAGTAACAAAAGTACTGGAAGTAACACTCCAAATTTACACAATTGTCATCATTGTAATTGGAGAATCTGTACAAAAAGTGTTTGATATTATAAGATTGTTTGCTTTTTGCTGTATCCAATTGAAATATTTAAACAAAGTGCCTATTTTTGCTGCAGGTATTCAAAGTAAGTTATATTATAACATATATATTAATATAATAAAAATCAAAGTACGGATATTTATATCTTAATAACTACAAATTTTAGAATACTTAACTATGTATTACGGATTATTATTATTATATTGTGCATTTTGCATTTTAAAAATGATAACTGGAGATCAATCATTTTTATATTTGAATGAGATTCGCAGTTTAAGCGAATTGCCAATGGATAAACTGATTCACATAAGATCTTCCCTCGCAAGCAGTAATGGTAAATTATTGTAAATATATATTTCATTAAGCAATTTGTTATTATCACGAAATCATTAAATATTATTTTATAATAATGTTTAAAATGTACATATACAATGTATATGTATAGTACAAGTTGTAATTATAATACACGCCTATTTTTATATTATTCATAGATATTACTGACGAAAATGAAAATAAAGATATCGACATGTCCAGTAGAACATTACCATTGACACAGCCAATGGCTTTGTCAATGGCATTGAAGAAAAATAACAGGAAGCCTATAAGACGACACGAAGAACACGATGATGAAAAAGGCATGGATACGAAAATTTCCAAAATTTTTCAGCTGGCAGTAACTGCGCTCTCTTTTCTCGCATTCGGTGGTTATCTCCTTACTCTCATAATTACATCGATTCGTCGCAATAATGGAAACGGAAACGGAAATGTCCTCGTATTTTCGGTAATATAATTACAATACAACAAAATTACTTACAGTTAAACTAAACGATTAAAAAAATCTATTCAGCGATTATTTAATTGTTACTTGTTTCTATGGCTCCTAATCTCTATTTATTATGAAGGGGAAGAATTTAAACTTATTACACATTACTCTCTTGTCCAATTAAGGGGGTATTCTAGTCTAGCGGATCGGAAAAATCGATTTTTTTTTTACATATTTTGCAAGTATTTGATATGGAAAATATGTCTGCAAAAGGATTTAGTCCGATTCGCAAAATTAACAAACAGTATTAGCATCTTAAGACATTACTTAAGACGGCTTTAAAATAAAAACCGACTTATGAATATCGGCCATAACGCTTGATAGAGAGTGGACTCAATCTATGTAATCAGTACAAAAAACTTTAAACGCGTTGTTCTCAAAACCACGTTTTTCAAATTGGTACCCATAATATCTTGAAAATCAATTGACCAATCAATTCGGACTTGTGCACACATCTTCAGCATATGCGTAGCTATAGCCTCTACCTCGAGCAAGTCAAAATATGTTTTTTTTTTTAATTTTTACAACCCTTTAAAGTTGAAAAAAAAAGGTAAAAATCTAAAATTAATTTTCAAATTAATGTCACTTTAAATTTTTAATATTTTATTTATGTTCTGGTACCAGCTATAGCTAAACTTATACTAATGAAGAATTTCTTTGAGTTTTTTATTTTAAATGAGCAGAACAGCCGGAATTATGGGTACAATGGATTAATCTTTTTTTTTCATGACCTCAGTATATATTGTATACAGCGCTTATTTATAGTTATTTTTAAATACAAATATTTTGAAACATGCTTCAAATATGTATAAATATGTAGGAAAAAACCCGTCCCAAAAAACTTTATACTTTCTTTTAAAAAAATTCGCAAAAGTAGCATAAAAATTTGGCCTCTAGACTAGAATACCCCCTTAAATATATAACTATTAGAGAAATAATTTTTTGTCATCAATTTGTTATCTTATTGCAATTGTTATTTTTTTTATCATTTTTAATTTAATTCTACTAATTCTATATAAGGAACTGTTATATTACAAAAATTAGTATGTTTTTTTGAAAAATTATTAACATACATAAACTATTGATATTTATTTGGGATAATTTACGATATTTATGATAAGAACACAAATTGATTTTTGATAAGTATGTTTAATTAAGCAAATTATTATTAATTATTTTTCTAGAATCTACAAAATCTACAGAAACTGAACCGTCCCAAACGAAATATTTTAATACTCGATCCGATGGAGAATAACTTCGAAACAGACAAACTTTATGAAGGAATGATTATGCTTTCAAGAAGTTACGCCTTATACAATTAATCACAAATCGTATAAACTGTGTAATGTGTATCTTATAAAATTTTATTATTCATGATTATATTACCAAATATAATAATATAGCATATAATCAACGTATAATATATAATATATATACTATTTACAATAAATCAAGGCAAATATTTTATCAAAGAATGCAACAAGATTTTAAATGGAAATTTTACAGTGAATAAATTAATAAAGTATTATTTTCAATTATTTGTTAAGTTTATTATTTTTATTATTTAACACTAAAGCTATACGCGGTAATGGAACTCGAATGAATAAAATAAAAATAATAAATTTAATTAATTGAAGGAATTCTTTATTGTATTTTTATATGTGATTAAAAATTACGGTGCCAATCGATTAACTCCATTCAAGAAGTACTTATCACGCAAATCAGCAGACTCTTGAAAATCCTAAAACCTAATAAAATCGAATAGAAGACCGCGCTGTGTACATATCTCGAAGAATATTCTTGGCGTGTGGGTAGAGAGGCAGCTTCAAACATGGCTCTTCAAATAAACATCTAAGTGGCTGTGTACTCCGTAAGCCTACACGTAAAGATAACCATATGGCTCTTGCAAAGATATCATCTACCACACATACGTCTCTATACCATTGTTTCATCGATATATGCAAATTCTTATATGTTTACACAAAGCTCTTCAAAATCCAATCCATTTCTGATTAACATGCCGTTCATGTCTAAAAGTAGCAATTACAAGACGTACGTAAGATATAACATCTTATACCATTTTGTTATAGCCACTTAATTTATTAACATATCTAAGCGCTCACACTGATTAGTCAAGCTAAATATACTTTTAAGAGAATTGCTTTTAATCGAATTAAAACATGATTAAACATGTTTATTAATAGTGTTATTATTACCAAAAATATCGGATCTAAAAATAAAATAATCTTCACGTTATCTTTATGCTTTATGTTAATCTTTCATGTTCTTACATCTTTAAAGACTTAATTTTACAAAATGTCGATTTAAAAATATTTACAATAATTCATATTTGAAAACAACAAGGCACAAATATGCGATAAATTAAAGAAATAAGAAACTGATTAAAACACACGCGCACACAGAATTTATTTATGTAATATAAAATCAATATTTAACATATATTAAATACAATTTATTATCATTATTATAATTCTTTTATCTTTTCAAAGTATCTCTCGCGGGAAATATTACTTTAGCTTGACATTTATATCCGCAGCATCCGACACATCATCTTGGCCAGACCAATCTTCTTGTAGTCCCGCCTACTAGTATTTTCGTGGACCAATCCAGTTAATCCAGCTAAATCACAACTGGCGGTGGTGATTTTTTCAGCCAGAAATTTCTCGATGGCAGAGCCTCGTTCATTCATTCACTTTTATGCCGTTCCGGTATTCTCTTGAATATTTTTTGTGAAAGTGATAATTTCTCACTAATAAATTAACTTAGATTTTATTCTTATTTTATTTCCTTTAAACTTAATTATATTCAACACAATTATGTGTATTTAAAAATAGTGTCATCAGGAGTGATTAAAGAAAGTGAATTAAAGTGTATAGTGAAGTAATTATATTGGTTAACATATACATTTACTAGAATTCATTTTGTGTTATTTTGAATAATAATTCTCTGCGTAAATGTATATTTTGCAAAAATAGACATGTATATAAAATGAAAACGCGGATTTTCAAATAATGAATCATAAACGCAGTTGACACAGATGCCATGCGAATTTTGACAAGTTCGTAGAAAAGACAATGAACGACATTGATACTTTCATCATGGATAACTCTAATTGTTCTAGACAATTGAAATTTGGCATGGATCGCATATTATCGAATGAAATTTGCACGAGAAAAACAGGTAAAAAGTAGAGTGATTTAAAAATTCGCTACATATTATTATATAAAATTTTTCATTTTAATATACATATAATTAACTGATTTATATATTATTATTGCACAAATTCTTTTTAATAGTTTATGCACATCAAGTTTACACATCTTTTTAATCAAATCTATATGTATTAATATTTTCTTGAAGATATCTTTAAATAAAAATTATCACTTTTAACTTTAATATTTTTTTTCTAATAGCGATAAAGCTCTACACATTTGTTACAATTAAATAATGTATATATTCTCATTTACATATCTCACTTTTAACTTCGATACGTTTTGATAGATATTCTTAAGCCATTTCCAATACAACGCCCACCCGTATGTTGTCCCTGCATCGAAAGTTGCGAGCGATGCGAAAATGTCAAAACTTGCATTTCATTCTCGCATATCCATTCATCATTACCTGAGGGCATCACATCTGCATCTTATACTGGACTAATGGAGAGTTTAAGTACTTTATATCGGCCAACACCGTTACGCCCCGTGCCAAGAGGTAAATAATAATAAATTAGACTTAACGTTGTTCGATGTTGTTCGATTTATTTAAAATTGGCATATAAAAAATTTTTATATTTTACATATATTTTAATATCGCTGAACTATTGAATATTTTTATAAATCATAGAGAATATAATCTCTTCTCATTGACAAAATGAAGTCGCAGCAAATTTATATCATTTATCGCGTCTTTCCAATTTAAAATTGTATGAATTTGCAATTAACTTTTATGCGTTCTTTTAAAATAAAGTTTAATTAATTAAATATAACTTTGTGTATTAAATTCGTCTCTTGAAGCTTAGCTTGTCAAACACCATTGGCTCATTATATTTGAATATCAAGTAGAATTTTTCTGTGAAAATCTATAAGAATATTTTAAAAAGATTCAGAGCTGAGCGTCGTGAGTTACGTCATTGACAAATGTTACCATATGGACATACTATCTTGTCCTTTTGATATTCAGGAGCAAGTAGAACAAAATATTTACGTATCAGTATATTCACGTGTTTCCTGTCTGTGTTTAAACGACATCTTAAGTGCCACCCAGCGTTTATGCATGGTGTAAACAGCGGTTTCGATGCGCATTTTCTCGGTTGGTTGAAATCTGGTAGCACCCATATTTTTTCTTTTTTTTGTTTAGAGCTATTCTCTCTCTCTCTCTCTCTCTCTCTCTCTCTCTCTCTCTCCCCCCCCTTTTCTTCTTTTTTCTCATCTCCATCTCTTCTCCGCTAATTAGAGAAAAATTAAGATACATGCATATACATTTTTATATAAAATAAAATTAAAAAACGAAGTAGATAATATATGTATAAATTTAAAAAGTGTGCATGTGTTTTAGTAAATTTATTTCTTTAGCAATAATTCTTTAGCAATAGCTATATGTACAATTAAGTTATATTCCATATTTTTAAATTTCATTTAAATAGAAACTACATCTAATAAGTTTATGAATATTCTATAGCAATATCAATTTTCGAGCAATTATTATACAAGAATTTGATGTATTTATTAAAGATATAATCCTTTTTATTATGCTATATTTTTTCTTAATTTTTACGTAATATTAATACATATATAAACCATTATATTCAATCCTATTTTAATTGTTATGTTAATTTGTTACACATGATGGAGAAACCTATATCAAATGTAACAGAATCTCTAAATTAAAAATGTATGTCTAGAAATCAACACGAAAACCTCAAAATAACTATGATGTTAAAGTTATCTGTTCGAATTTGTACGGAAATTCGGTGTGTGAGTGGGAATACCATACTGTTTAAATACGTACAGATGTTGTATACTTTCGTACGATCGTAAATCAGCCCGAAGTACCCCAGCTTCAGGGCTTCTTCGGACTAAGATTTGTAGAAACTAACGCTCATCAAACTAACCGCTCTTATATCTCTCATGATGCTTTGTCTTTATTCAATTCATAAAATTTCACAATTTTTTTCCTTTCTAGATATATTTCTCCATTTAAAGTATATTCTCTCTCTAAATCTAAAAAAAAAACGTCTTAATATATTTTTAATAAATATTGTAAAAATAAAATTTTTAATATTATCAAATGTGCATATCTAATGCACATTCAAATTCTAAATAAAACTTGTCATGAGATAAATTCAAATACTTAATACTCACTTTTCAGCACTTATTTCATCTTCTTCGACGGTAAATTCTTCAGAAACAAATACACGAAGAAAAAGATCGTGGTCTAGAGCCGTCTTTAGTTCTCTACAGCGAAAAGGTTTAGAAAGAAGATTCTCCCTACAGAAATACATCACGAAACCAGATAGGCGACAATTGGCAGCGACTTTGGGTCTAACCGATGCACAGGTTATATTGTTTACTATACAAAATCTTTGACTATATAAGTATACTTATACATATAGTCAAAGTATAAAATCTGACATGTCAATATCTGTATTCTGTAAAAGAAAAAAATTTTAATACATTTTATTGCATAAAGGAAATAATATTTTAAAGAGAACATTTTTAAGGAAATTTTAAAGAAATAATATTAATAACAGAATCATTTTTATATTAAATTTTTCTTTTACGTTATTAGGTCAAAGTTTGGTTTCAAAACCGTCGGATGAAGTGGCGGCATACGAGAGAAAATGAAAATGTTGCTTTAGCCGGTCCAGATTCCACACAAAAAGATTTTCCGCAAAAATTAGTTAAATCCATCACCAATGACACGACGCAACAAGAAGAAGATATACAAATCGATTAGATTCGTATAAGATTTGTAAAAAATTTCCATATACATATATATTATATATATTACATTTATCAGCATTCATCAAAAGTTTAAGAATTATTACGAAATGACAATATATTACATAATGTATATTACATATGTAATGAATAGGGTGCGGATGTTCGGGCACGATGCCGGGGCTCGCGCGAAGAACCGCTGCGTGCAAGCTAGCCGGATGTTCGCTGCAGAAATGAGATAACATTTCTTGAGGAAATTTAAAGCCCGATCTATCCGAATAAGATATCTGATGATATCTATCTCGGCCGGCGCACGGTCTACTAATGTAAGTAAAGCGCCGCGGAGATAATTGTTTTCTGTATAATTTTTTTTATTGATTCGAGATCGCGTGAAAACGCTTTTCTTCAAAACGCCGAAATCTTTAGAGAAAAAATTGAAATTGAAATTTACTTCCATTGAAATTTACAAAAATATTTATATGAATCATAAAAGTGAGCTTCGAGTCTCTTCGAGAAATGTCACTAACTCTCAGAATCCGACTAACTCGTACGCAGCGGCTCTCCGCGTGCGCTCCGGGAACGTGCCCGAACATTCGCACCCTAGACTATAATTAATATAAATAGTATAAGGAAATAATGTATTTTATGATATTCAGTCTGAAATATAAAAATCTTAAATATAAATAGTACCTTTATTAAAAAAATATTATAAGAATAATTTATAATGCAATTAAATAATGCAATAAAATTAAATATGTAAATTAAATTTATATTAATGATTTAATAGCAGCTATAACTAATAAAACTTTATATATATGTATATATATTCTAATATCCATTATTAAATCTAAAAGCTTTTAAATAATTGTATATTATATATATTAGAATTTGTAGCTGGCGCGTTTACATTTTATGTCTATTTCAATGCTGTAAAATTAAAGCGTTTTCAATTCCGTTCAGTCATTATTATTACGAATGCAATATGTCGATAATTCCGACCTTTCAGCATCCTTTTAATTCGTGATAACCATGAATATATTTCAAGATACAATGTAAAAAATATATAATATGCATAACGTAAACAATAAAATTTCAGTAGCGTATATATATCTCAAATACGCGGCCCGTTATATTGATTCGTGTTAAAACGAATTTTATCAATATCAATATCGTATATTGATAAGAAATTTTATACTTATGACATTTTTAAAATATTTTTTTTCTTTTCCTTGAAAATATTTAAAAAATGGCAAAATTATAAAATTTCTTATCAATATATACGATACTGACGTTGATAAAATTGTATCAATCTTATCTGTATGTTACGAATTTAAAAATATCCTAGTAACTCGGTTATTTGGCTTTTCTTTGAAAATATTTTTTAAAAAGTAACAAATTTCTTATCAATATACGATATTGTTATTATTTATTGATAAAATTATATCGATCTCATCTGTATGATATCATCTGTAACATCTCCCGCGCAAATCAAATTGTATCACTTCACTCACTCGTTAACTGCCGATGTAAAACAATGTAATTTCTTCAGGTTAGTTCTCATACACGCATATTTTGTCTTTAATTATAGCCAAGAGCATGCATTTTAATTATTTGTTGAATCAATATATAAGCAATTCTCTAATTTTGTTAAAAATGCTTAAATAAGATAAATAATTGCATTAAATTAAATATAACAATTATTATAAGTAATAATGGTGAGTTTCCGTAAAGGTATTCTGTAAAGATAGTGTTAAAATCATAATAAGGTTTTCTTATATTATCTGCAAGGTTTAGAAATCGTTATTCTTATTTAGTGTATTATATACATTCCGGACTTTATTAACTTAATTGAGTATATTAAGTAATGGTAGAATTCGAAGAATTGATATATTTTACATGAATTAATTAATCAGATTGCTATTATCAATTGTACATACTTAAAATTTAAGATTTTTTCCAATTCTTCAACATTATTGAAAAAGACAAATATTAGTTTTATTTAACATAATAAGCTATATAATTTGGATAATAAATTGATAATTTGTAAAATGTGGACGAAAAATATAATAACACTATAAAATATAAATATATATAGATAGATAGGAATGAATTTATCATTAATACGATTTTCTATTTTTTCGATATGTTTCCGTAGCAACGATTTTGTTACTCTCTTTCTCATGGGCGTAAACCGTAAACGTATGTAAATCGATCGCTATTAGACGACAATATTTAGCGATTGCTTTAATCTTTCTAAACTATATTTTTACTAGCAGGTATGAACAAAAATTTTAGTTTTTATTAATATATTATGTATATTATATATGTTAATGTAGTATGCATACATTAAATATCTCCCATCTATGTTCTGAAACAATTTTACGTATGTATACGTCAGTAAAGTAATTTTTTTTATTTAAGGTTTTTAAGACTTTATCTTAATGCTGTAAAAATAATTGCAAAACAAAATGATGCATCACTTAATGCAGTCCATTTTTATTGCTCGAGATTTTTCATTGCAAACGTACGGAAAATGTTTCTATCGCTCAATAACGAAACTGACTGACACACTAGAAGCTGCTGAAAAAAGGAAAAGCGTACCACTCATTTCCAATGATGTAATAAGTAAGAAAGTATATAGTATTTAATTATTTCAGCAATAATACTCTTACTTTCTAATAATTTTCGAATAGACACTTCAATTAAATTGCATACAAATGAATTATTTCGCTACATTAAATTTTAAAACGAGAAACGTATTTTGTCATAAACTTATAATATTAAGTGGCTATTAATATTAATATCATGCTCAAATTTTTCTAATTCAGCCGCCTCCATGCAATCGCATGCAATTCCAACAATGAATGCAACTGTAACGACAACGAAGACGATGCCATTAGTGGAAACGGCAAATTTTGACATAGCCACGGAAAGTTTCAAATTTCCTAAAGTTATTCCACGTGTTCGTATAGAAAAAGTACCATTACCATTTGAGGAGATTCCTGGCCCGATGATTCTGAAATTATGGGAGAAATATTGGAGATACGTGCCACTCTTGGGTACGCAACTGTTTTGCAGTCTGCTAATAAGCAGACTTACTCAGGGTATGATCCCTTGAAGTTCAATTGATTAAAATTCGAAGAGCTGTATCTTTAAATTGATTTCGAGAAATCAATGATACGAGAAAAGAAAAGATTTCGTTCTTATGTATTTGTATGTAATAATAATGTACATATAGAATGTAAATTAATTTCGGTTCTTCGAATTTTGAACAATTTGCTTCATAAAACTTAAAAAAATAGGCATATATGTAAAATATATCAAATCTTTCTAAAATTCATATATGCGTAGATACGTATTTAAATAAGTTATACATTTATATTTGCTTATTGTAGTAAAGATAACAAATTTTAAAACCTATACTCTTCTTTTATATCATACATATAAAAACACTATGTATATAATAAGATATAACATATGTAGAATATCTTCTCTGGAATATCTTTAATATTCCAGAAAATAAGGAAATATTAATGTATTATATAAAATTATTTTAATAATTAATACAATTAATAACAAAAACAATGTAATTAATATAAAAGACAGAACTTTGCAAGTTAATACTAAATCAAAAAACAATTAAGGATAATTTAATGTGTCATTATCGCAGGACGATTATCATGGAATCGTAATGTCACACCAATTAAGTACTTGTTTGATGAATATGGATGTATTGTGCGGATTAACGGACCGCTTGTAAATGATATAATTATGATTCATAGGTAAGATCATACCATTACAATTTGTATGTTTTCCCGGCAAAATTAACTCATTAAACGTTATAGACCTGAGCACATAGCAGAAGTTTTCAATCAAGAGAGCGAGTCACCTATTCGTAGTAGCATCGACATTCTTCAACATTATCACCTTAATCATCAGAAATATCGTTCGGCCGGAGCGTTTTCTCTGTAAGTATAAGGCGACTGATTATGAAAAAAATTTAACATAATTATTAAAATATGTAAAATAATAAATTCAATTATACAATATAATATAACTAATAATTTAAATTAATATCCTAAAGAAATATTTATTTTTAAATGAAACAGCTCTGTGAATATTTTTATAATCATGTCTATATAGAAACTTTTTGTGTTCAATTTTTTGTTTTATAAAAATATAATTTATATATGCAAAAAGCTATATTTAAGTTATATTTATGCTTATTAATATACAATTGCTAATAAATTTTATGAAATATCAGAGAAGGTTTAGAATGGTTGGAAGTAAAAAAGAAAATCAATCAGCCGTTGCATGAGACTATTTCCGATTATGTTGGAAAACTGGATTTAGTGTGCGATGAACTTGTTAACAAAATTCGTAACATACGCAATCGTCAAGATGAGGTATGTCACACAATGAACAATAATAAATAATTAATAATGTCAATAATAATATCAATTGTTTAAACAAAATTTAACTTACATTTTTTCTACATAAATAATATTAAAAATGAAACAATGATATATATGGAAGTAAACTCAGGCGTCGCAAAATTATATAATAAACAAACATATTTTACTGTATATAATTAGAAAAAACTTATAATAGTTAAGAAGTAATATTTTAGATAATATTTGAATAGGTACCAGCAAATTTTCATCAAGAACTTACTGCATGGGGTATGGAATGCTTCTACGTGACGATGTTCAACAAGCACTTCGGTTTTCTTGATTCTACCTCAAAATCAGCTTCAGAAGCTACAAAAATTATTAATGCATTAATCACTGCTCATACATATATGAGTCGCTGTGAAACTGGATTTCAAGTGTGGAGATTCTTTGAAACTCCATTCGCCAAAAAGCTTTATGCAGCTTGCGACTTTCTTGATGAGTAAGTCAACGAAGCTTAACTTCTTTAACGTTAAGTTTATTTTAAGCAACACTTCTCAAGCATATGATTATGTTTATATGCAAACGTGTTTGAGTGCATTATAATTTTATTTAATATATTATTATTTGTTCGTTTACGTTAATAACAAAATTTTTAATTTTAATGTTATATTTCGCTAATTTCTTGAGTGGAAATATTTATTTGACGAATTTTTATTCCAGAGTTATTGGAAAAAATATTTGCCAAACTCAGAACAAGCTGCAGGCTTCATTGTTATCAAAACAAGAAAAATCTATGGATGAGGAGAAAAATTTACCATTACTCGAAAAAATGATGATTCAGTGTATTCATCCAAACGACATTTCAATTCTCTTGATGGACATGATTATTCTAGGCGTCCAAGCTGTAATACACAATAATTTCACACAACTGTAAGAATATACATAAATGACTTATCTTGAATTTTCAGGTCATTAATTGCGAGGCGTTTCTACTTTATTTCCTGGCAAAAAATCCTAGAATACAGAAACGATTGTACAATGAAATAATGACTGTTCTATCTAAAACTGAACATACTCTGACAAAAGAAAGCTTGAAGGATATGCCATATCTAAAAGCATGTATAAAGGAAAGTCTTAGGTAACAGAAAGTAAAATACGAAAGTAAATTATAAAAGTAAAATAACTATTTTAATACATTAATTTGCATTATTTAATGCAAATTAATAGTTTTACAATTTACATTATTGTATTACGAAGAACGGCGATATAGAAAAAGTATAAATGTGCCAAATGACTATATGTAACGTAATATTTTTTTTGTAAAAGGTTACGACCAGCATTCCCATATTTAACGAGATTACTGCCGACGACAATTTCGTTACACGGATATACGATACCAAAGGGAGTAAGTTGTGATTGATTAGTTCAAGTCTAGAGAGGCGGTATAATGAATAATTTTTATTTTCCAGACTTTCGTCATAATGGCAAATCAAATAACATCACAACGTGAGGAACATTTTGAAGATCCTGAAAAGTATCAACCAGAAAGGTGGTTGAATCATGATGAATATGCACGTAATGATTATCAAGAGTATTCGTGTCTACCTTTTGGCTATGGAATACGATCCTGTCTGGGAAAAAATATGGCTGAAACACAAATGATGTTACTCACTGCAAAGGTAAAAAAGAGTCCTACACACAATAAGGCCTAAATATAATGCAGAAGTGATACAAAAGTACATCTCGTTTTTTTTTACAGTTGATACAAGAATTCACAATCGAGTATGATTACGCTGAAATCCGAAGTCGATTTTTTATGATAAATGTACCAAATAGAGCATTACGTTTTCGATTCGTAGATAGAAATTTAAAAAATGATAAGAAATATGGAATTTAAATAATTTAAAAGGACCTGCAAAGAACAAGATAATTATTAAATGTGAAGGTGTATTCTTATTAAGATTATATTTAAAAGTTATTATCATAAGATTATCTTTCTGTACAAAAAGCTGTATAAAGGAGGGAAAAAGCAAAGTATTAACCGTTTTTCTTATATCAAATTACATATTATTTTACTGACAACATAGCTTAGAAGTTATGATAAAATATGTATTTACGTTGTATTTTCAAAATGTGCTCCAATTTGCTTGAAACGTATAAATTTTTTTTAAGAAAATTTGTATTAATTAATTTGTATTAATATTAGAGATTATGATATGTATTAATTATTTGTATTAATTAATTTGTATTAATATTAGAGATTATGATATTAAGTGTTACAAATAAAATAATTTTTATAATTTATAGATACATGTACAATTTTTATTGATATTATATATAATTTAACAGTTTCATCTATAATAAGAGATTATTTTTTTATATGAATATCTTATTACTAACAAATACATATATTTTCATTATATCATTATTGCAGTTCTACATATAGCAAACTTTTCTCATAAAAATATAATTTTTTAATTTTTAATTATTTTTCTATACTTGACCCATCATGATACGCACAAATGCCATGTACGAGAAAACTGTCGAGATATACTGAAAAAATAATAAATTTGTAAATGCGCAAAAGAGTACTCAAAAATCTAAGAAAACTTTAATGCGGAAGAAGCGTCTAAGAAATAAAAAGTAGCATATAAAATGATACGAGTGTTTACCGATGCATAATAATTCATGGATAAGTTTGGTAATGCACACGGAATTGAAACAGTGACTGGATGCTGACTTCTTAATATGATATGTATTAAAATCTTCCGTATGATCACATCATCATTGTACCATGATGATTCGTAGACAGCAGACGCTATATCAGTACTCTAATAAAAAATTTTGAAAAATACATTTTTTTTAAATCGGACAATAATTGTGTCATCTCTACTATAATGTATAATTATGAGATTTATTTTATATAAATAACTAACCGTACTTATTACATTATCAGCTGGCCAAGCATACATGTAGAGTTCCACAAAGCCACAGAAAGCAATCATAAGAAACGTCCATTTCACTGACCATGGTTGACGCTGTGACGCGTAATATCGGGAAAAAATAATATGCATGATGTATGCACTATATAATATGTGTAATGTATTGCAACAGACATGGAACGAACATTTTAATAAGTCCCAAACAACTCGCTTTCCATAAACCATGAATGAGAAAATTATATGCAAAAACAGTTGTTAATAAAACAAAATTTTTTTTCATGTAACACATAATAATTTTGGCACAAAAAACCATGGTACACTACAGCGGAAAGCACTTACACTCATAAAAGTAAGGTAACCAAATATTACAGCACCGGTGCTAAAAGTCACACATAATAATGCTACGTAGCGAATTGCATGCGTTACTTCTCTTGCATACCTATAAATATTCACTTTTAGAAAACTGAATTAATTATTAAATTTAATTTTTTTTTCAAATCTACATGTATATTATGTATGTATACACGGAAAGAACAATTTTGCTGAAGCCAGATTAGAAAATAATTTTTGTTCAATAATCAAAATAATTTGATGCAAAAGTCAAAATGATTGCTAGAATATCAAAACGTTTTATAGCAATGCTTATCAGTTTTAACATTTTAATAAATTATTTTGATGATTTAACACAAAATTATTTTCGGATCTATATTTAGCAAAATTTTAGATCTTTCAACAAAATCGTTCTTTCCGTGTACGTATGTATGTACATACATATGTACATACCTAAGTAATAGAATGTGTTCGCGCGTATAATTTATCAGCTCTTTCATGTTCGTCATTGTACGAAACCGAACGGATAAAATGTTGAATCTGGCAGCTACGAACCAAAGTAGGAGAGCAGGAAAGGTATTGGTGCTGACTTGGATTACACACTGATAAGCGATCAATACGTGATGCGCATAAATGATAGTTTTAAATGGTTGACGTTGCACGTCGAATGGGTACTCCGCTTCACTCGGGAACGATTGTGATGAAAATAAAGGCGTGAGTACAACGCTAATGCCTGTCATCGCCAACCAACAAAGAATGCTCCCTATAAAGTAATCAATTTATTATTAAGAAATTTGTTTTAATAATAAAAAATATAAAATTGATGTTATGTATACCTACCATAAAATGGTTTGCATTTGTCGATATATTGTTGGAAAATTTTTTTTTCATATTCTTGCGCTTGCTGATAATAATTCTCCATTTCCAAAATAATAAACTGCATTGTCACAAAGCTTGTATTAATAGTTCTTTTATTATTTTAAAAACAAAATATTAATAAAATATTTTTAATTAATATATTGTCTTAATTTCATATAATAATAATTAATTACATGGCAAAATTTTAAAAGCCACCGTAAAAGAATAATAAATATTTGGTGTTTCTATTTAAAGACAGATAAAGAGTAAATATAATATATTTAGTTTATGAAGAAAATAATTAAATAAAATGTTTAATTTATGTGATTTATTTTATTATATAATAGATTCAAAGAATCTAAAGACTCCAAGATAATAAAACAAAAGGACAAGAAAATGCCCATCAGATCCAACGCAGTAATTAGTGCGTAAAGAATACAAGCTTTATTAATCAAATAAAATCGCAAATAATGCAAGAGTCGAAACGTATGCATATTTATTTATTTGCGATTTTATTTTATTAATAAAGTTTGTATTCTTCACGTAATTACTCGCATCGGCTCTGATGGGCATTCTCATTACCGTTTATTTTATAGATTTATTTTATAGATACAAACAATCCATTTCTATGAATCTGAACAAAGGTACATATCGTGGATTTTGTTAAAGTTATAAAATATAACCTTATTCACTAATTTTCTTATAAATAAAAATCATACCTGCAAACGTTTGTTTTGCATCGCAAAGAGTATCAACTGTAATGGAACTTGCACGATAGCGCTCAATTGACATCCTAATTTCATTACCAGAGGCACATTGTCACTGTGCTTACAGAGTGTCCATATTGCCGCAGCGGCAAGTACTATCGAGTTTATAACGCAGAAACACTGGAAGGTACTACGAACAAGTCTCTGAGACTTGGTCGCGTTCGGTGGAAGAGGCCAACAGCAAGCAAATGTCAAGTACACCCTCAGAAAGACAATTACTTTATTCAGCGTTACCTTTCCCTTCATATTCAAGACACAATAGAAATTCTAGCTAGCATAGTATAAGCTGTAATCATCCCTCGCAATATCGCCGAGATAATTTGCCAGCGATTAGACGCTATAATAACACACGCGAGGCGCCAAATGATGCGGTACATACGATATAAGCCAGTGTTATATCTTTCGAGCAGGGTGTATTAATTCTCAAGGGATCTCGCAATGTGTACAACATTATTTTAAAAATCTTAACATTACATTAACACCGATTACACAATTTCATAATTTATACTCGATATCCACTCAAAGAGTTTTGCTTTATAAAAAGATATATATATTGTAGAAAAATATTTTTAATATTGCAAGAGTAAAAAACTTCAACTTTCAATATTAAAATTATCAAAATTTTAATTTTAATCATTTATGCATTTTAATGTGTTTTAATAAATTACATGTGTTGAACACGAAGTACTGTAAAACTCGCGGAAACTATATTGCTATCGAAAAGCAAAATACATGTCTTCGTAGGCTATAAAGCCTGTGTGCAATACAATCTTGAATTGTTATTTTACTCAACGTTACTTTATATCAAAGAGACTTCGAAGAAAGCAATAGTGCAATATTGAAACTTCTCAGTTACTACAAATTACTACCAGGAAAGAGAAGCAACTTTTATGACCACCTGATTAGGTGCCTTGCCATTGACTGCATTTCCCATCAGACAGGAAGACAAAGACTGCTTAATTAATCATATGAATCGAACGCAATGCTGCCGCGTATATACAAACACTTTCATGCACTACACGCACGTTGCAATCTAATGGTAATTGTCTAGTAATAATTAAATCCAGTACAGTGAAGTATAATTATAGATAGAGGTGAAGTGAAATTACACGATCCCTTGTGAAATTGTCTGCAATGTATCGTAATAAAGGTAGTATGGATGAAAAGCAAATTCAGCTGAATGCGAAGACACAGAGTACATATAGAGTATTTTATATAATTTATTAATTACCAATTTTTTGTTTAAATAGTTAGGAGGAGTTCCTCTAACGACGGACGGCACCTAATACCGGACATTAGCTGTATCTGTAACAGTTGAATCGCTATCGAGCCATTTTTCCGCGTAAATCGTAGAGGAGATAAATCAAACAACGATCAGGTTTTAACACGTTCCAGTCGCGTGTGCACAGCTAAGGAGATTTATTGTTGCGTATGACGGAAAATTAGTGCATCGTATAAATTATAAATTATTATAGGGTGAAAGACCATATTACTGACAGGGTCTACATTACTGTCAATTAAAATTAAAATATTTTGAGATGAAAAAACTATATGTTACACTATTTTATTAATTTTTAATAAAATTTTTGACATATCTAACTATTATTACAATAGTTTGCAATAGTTAACTAAAAATGAAAACCAATTTTTTAATTAAAAATAAAACTTAAAGTTTGAGAAACTCATTTTTCTGCTAAGTTATGTCCATTTTTATTATTAGTGAAATGGATAATAAGTAGTTACAAAGATAAGCAATTGTAGATAAATTTGGTCAGATAAGTATCATGGAAATAAATTTTTTGATAAAATAATGTAAAAATAATAATGTTAAAATAAAAGGAAAAAATTGAAATGTTGATTAAAATATTAATTTGTATAATATATTCATTAATGCTAGTACTATATTCACTTTTTTGTATTTTTCCTATATTACTGTCAACAGTATTGTGGTCATCAATCATAAAGTGAACATAATATTGGCATTTTGAAAGGATAGATAATACAACCTCAATTAAATGTAACGGAGTGTCGTAGCTGTGACAGCTGTGTAGCTAACACTGTGTTTTTGTGTGTCTATTTCGTTGGGATTATCCCTTATCCAGATGAACATATTTCTGACAGTTTTCTATATGTATATGTGCTGTCGGAAATATGTTCATCTGGTTGTCAGTATTAAAGAAATTTTGTAATTAACGAAATTTTGAGATTGCCAGTATTAGATGCAACTGAGCTTATTCATTATTTTATTATTATATTTAAAAAATATCAATTAATTTTATTTAAACTTTATAATTTTTTTTAAGTTTGTAACTAATTAGAGAAATAATTAGATAAAAATATTTTTAGTACTTAAATCGTTAATTCTATAAATTTATTAAATTAAATTTTAGTAAATGCTTAATAT